TACGTACTCAGGCCCACGCCAAACCCCCCCCCCCCACCTACGACTCCTATGGTCTTAAACGCGAGAGTACACACACACGCCCCTCCCCAGCCGCCGCCCCCCGTAGCGGTCAACCGTCCGACCGTGTGTTACCGACCCGTGCTATTCTAGGAGGGAGAAGAACGCCCGTCTAAAAGGAGCGGGTATAGAAAACCAACCGAACAAACCCACGTCGAGTAGGCTATTTCCGGTGAAACAAATCCTGTTTGTTTCGCGCTTCCCTCCGTCTCCTTCTCTCTTATTTCCTCTGTTTCTCTATCTTTTTCTTCTACTCTCCCGACTAATGTTTTTTTATTTCCGCCGTTTCCCCTCAAAGGGTTGGCACCTGACCTGTCCAAAAGGAAAGTGATATTGACACCGAGGGTGAAGGGAAGACAAATGCTGCAGCCAAATGGACGCCATCTTGGGGTGGCATTGTCTCACAAGGAAGATTGCAGGAAAAGTAAAAGTACATGCCGCAAATACTTTTGCACAGACAGAAAAGCATTATTCCACTCAACAAACTCTGACTGCGTTCCCTCAATGGAGCCTGCACACTGTGTGACACTCTAATGATTATCTCATAATTGAAACAAGGCAAATATTTCTTATTGGCTCAAAGGAGCACCTGGTAATCCGGATAGCTACCCTATCGAATGACAGGGAATGCAGGTACAGTAGGATGAGTTACACACACACAAACACAGACCCACACACACTCTCAGACGAAGGCGAGATAGAAAGTGAGAGGGGCAAAGTTGAAACGTCTGTGAGAACAATGACATTTTGCCTTCTTTTCTCTAAGCCAGACACCACAGACTTGTTCAATAGAGCAGGAGGACACACACACACACTCACACACGCGTACACACACACACGCACACACACACACACACACACACAGTAGGACTGTCAGGGTTTTGAGACTTATGGAATCAAGTGGGATCCGAGCCCAAACGGGAACAATGAGAAGCCATACAGTGTATGTGTGCGTGTTTGTGTGTGTGGCTGACTGCGTGTGACCGAGCTCACTTGTATCTGTCTGTGTGCGTGTGTGTGTGCATCCCTCGATGTGGGCACTGCCACCTCTGTGTGTGTGTGTATCATCAGTGTGTGTTTGTTTCTAATCGTTGCATACTAATGCCGATGAAGAGCGGGCCCTCTTATTCTCCGCCGAGTCTCTGTGCCTTCTCCTCAGTAAACTCTCACGGCGGTGAAAAGAGGAGAGCATTTTAACCGAGCCGGGAGGACAACAGGCTCCTCATTGAGGTCACCAAACAGTGTGGACGGGGAGGGAGCGCATTCAGTGGCGAGTGGGCCTTGAACAAGGGACTGAATGGCCTGACGGATCATTAGCCACACCGGCCCGGGAGAGGAGAAGGAAGAACCGGGGCAAGCACAAAGGGATACACAACCACAAAACCAAGGATGCAGATGAGGGTTAACCCATCTAAATGCAACTTCCCCACCTTTTAATTTGGGAAATAAAGTTTACCCACCTCTACATGGACGCCTATACGGTGCATACACACAAAATGAAAAGCAGCTCTGAATGCTTGCGGTCTGATGCTGTGTGCGACGTGTACACACACACGCACAGGCTGGTATACAGTGTATGCACAAACAGGGGCACACACACCCGGCATCCTGCAGCGAGATGATCTGGGCTGTACATGTGTGAAGCAGACAAACACAACACACAGTGGCTCATCTGTCCCATGAAAAATGAGCAGGCTGGCCTCCAGTCAGCACACTGCGGCCCACTTAATGTCCCCACCTCCGCCCACTCTCTCTCTGTTTGTCCTTTTCTCACAATGTGGCTTTTCCTTTTGCTTTTTTATGACACTCTTTGTTTTTCTTTTCCTGTTTCAGTATCCCTTTTTATTCCTTCTGTTCCTACCCTCCAAGCATGCTGCCCAAATGTTTTATCTCCTTTGTGGCACCTGGCGCCATCCACTGCATCAAGTGTTGCAGATATATCCATAAAAGATTAGCACAATTCTTTGTGCTCACACAATCACTTAGTGAATCGACGGGAAATCAATCCCCAACAATGATCTTCTGAAGTCATTCATTATGCAGAAGTTACAACGTTTCACTATTGTAAATTGGGATATTGGTGTTTAACTATTTCAGTACATTTTATGGACTAAAAATCAAATAGACGTATTGAAAAAATATCAAAAGATTCACTGATGATTCAAATGATTGCTAAGATGTAGGTCTTCAAATAGTTTACACTTACAAAGAACGCATAAATTAGCTGATTTCCCGAAAGTGTGGTCTCATCATTCACAAGTTTAATCAGCGTCAAGTCTAGCCTGTGAGAAAAAGAACTTTGCATCTGCGCTGAAACAATGGGCCCATCAATGGCTAGCCCCGGCATCTTTTTGGTATGCACCAAACAAACAATTAGCTTTGTTGGGGCGTAATTGACTGGCAGGACCGGGTGGCATTTACATTCGCCCGCTGTTGCCACCCTGCCATTCGATATAAAAGAATAGGTCCATACGAGGGTGGAAGGTTGGCCACATCTCTCTGGTTGGAAGACACCGCTCTTTTTTAACGGTGGCAAACTTCCAAGCAGGAGCAGTTTTTTATGCACGGCTGTGCAGGAAGGGAGGGTGCGTTGAGGACGAGACTATAGATTTAATTATGCATGCATGTTTTCTCATTCATTGTAGTGGTGGGAAGGGGAGAGGCAGAGGGTGAGGGGTGTGTGGTGGGAGGGTTGGAGGGGGGGAGACAGACCAATGACATTCCGTCGTTGTAGTCCTCCTCCTACACACACACACAAACACATACACAC